AATTGCATTCGCTTTTTGAATATATATGATTTAAGGAACCGATATTATAACTATAACCTATACAATTTATTACTTACAAGATGTAGCTAATCGTTAATATATTATTATGAGCATGTCAATATATGGACAATCATTTTCTCTTGCATAAACAAAATATATAGATCTTAATGCATTTCCTGCTGAAACTGGAAACTCTGAAGAAGTAATTAGTGCGGATGAGATACACATTATTTTATAAGATCTTATATATGCAAATGAAACTATAACGTAGTACGCCATCTAGTTGACCGTATAGGTTCTTATGTTAACGTGATCAACGGATGATATACCCATGATAAATATATAAAACTGAGAATGTAGTGCGAGTGCGAGGCTATGTGATTTATACCTAGATAATAAATCAAACCACTTTCGAGGTATATACGATTCACAAAAATCTTTACGAAGAATACGAAAGTATTTGTTGTTGTTACAGCTAAACAAACAATAGATGACCTTCATTCTTGAGTTCCTGTTGGGAGTGATAAGCGGCACTTAATCATTTGTATAGACAAATATTCGGCCATCTAATCAAAATTGGTCGACTCTGTCGTTTGCCTATGTCGTTATACTCTATATGCAATTAGGCAATTATGAGAAGTTATATTAAAAACGTTTCTTGGTAAATGTGATTTCAGCTATTTTGATATTTAAGTCTAAAAATTTAAATTAAATTTTACCTGCTTCCTTCGATAAATTCAGAACTTCAGTATGATTGTCAACTTTAGTATAGGTATAAATATTATTTTGAGGAGCATGTTTATTGTGCTGTTAAGAGTTCTTAACATTAGTTAAGAATTACTTGAAAATATTATCAAAGTTTGGAGAAACAAACTATTTATTCTTAGAATCCTTATATTATTATTATTATTGAGTAAGGGATCGTGCACTGCGACCTAGAAGATCTATTGTGCCCCTTTGTCGGGTTAGAGTATTTCTCCAAGTCCGATTTCTTTAATGAAAGACAGTATGGATCCTATCTTCCCCAGTCTTGAATCCTTATGATCCATGAAACACCCTCCTAGGTGTTTCTTTGCTTATGCATCAGTGCCGGGCACTCCCCAAGCACATGGTATGCCGTTTCTCTCTCTTCCCTGCAGTATCTGCAGTCTGAGTTGGATTGAATTCCTAACTTCGGTAGAATCTTTATAAGGGATCCAACTTTTCTCAACTTTAATTCATTAAGACTCACACTTCGAATAGATATGAGTCGTATTTGTATCTAAAACACTACGAATTAAACAGCAAATATTTGCATTTGTAAATAAGTATAAATATATAAGTATGTATGTATATAAATATATTTAGTTGTTTTATTTGTGTTGTTTGCATAAAAAAACGTATTTTTTTAATTTGCCAAAAATTCCGCTTCTTAAAAAAACTGAATTTATTTTTTCATTATTCATTGATGGGATGTATTTGCTTTTATATCTATTGTTTTTTTATTAAATTTTTATTTTTATTTTATTTAACAATTTAATGAGGAATGACGCATTATTGAATTTTACTCAAATAAATTAGACAAAGCGTGTACAAATAAAATAAATTTTTCTTCAAATTCTGATAGAAATTTACGTTTTGTGAGTGATGAATGCTGGGGGCCAGCTTAATCCATCAAAAAAAAAAATGTTACACAAGTAATAATGAAATGAAACAGTAGAGCAATAAAGCAATGAAGCTTATAATTTGTTTGATAAACATAATTCCCTTTGCTCTTTATGGCGCTCCACTGAGCTTTGCCGTTCTGTTTCTAATATTACAAAGAATATTTCTGTGCGATCATATGTCGCTAATTTGTCTTTGTTTTTATATTTATTTATTCTTTTTTTTGTTTTTATTTTTTTTTTCACAAAAAAACTCAATATGTTCTAAGCGGGAAAGACCCTTGAATGTATCAAATGTACTTCAATGTATCGTTGAAGTAAAAAATTAAATTGATTATTCTCAGGAAATTCTAATTACTTTTGTTTTTGTAAACGCAAATAAATGCTCAAACGTATATTAAGTCTTAAATACTCGTACTTGCTTTCAATTATCTATTCTAAAAATTATAGTAATGAAATTGCCAAGAATGGAACCAGTTTAAGGTTGAGGTTAATTGTATTTTTAATTTGTAAAATAATGTATGTACACAGAGATATTATTTGATTTTCAGTATTGTTTCTATGCGAATTCATGAATCTACAATAATCTCTGATGAACTACTTGCAATGAATTCGCTAGATTATGTTATACTTGTACATTTAACATTTTAATTGAATTTTTTATACAAATCTATTTTAAGTGCACCCCTTGGGAAATTAAATCTTAGCCAATTAATTAATTAATTTTATTATCAAGAACTTTACTATTAATTACCTAATATCAATAATTGATATTTTTAATATTAACCCATATTGGTTTCTTCATTATTTAATTTTAATTGGCTTATTGTATTTTAAGTAAACTCTTTGGGGAATTAGAGCTTAGTCAATTAATTAATTAATTTTATTTTCAAGAACTTTAATATTAATAGTAAAGTAAAACTTATAATTTCAATGATTGATATATTTAATATCAACCCATATTGGGTTCTTCATTATTTAATGTATATTTTTTATTCACAATAATATCAGGCAAAGATCAAAACTCTTCAAATATAATAAAATTACAATTTACTAATAAATTCTAAAGCCAATATGATCATATGTTGCAAAAGTTTGAGGCTGTGCTACCCAAAGCAATATCAATATAATCCAAAGGCTTCGAAACAAAATTCTTTTTCAAACGTATCACGATACGTTCGTAATGTACTTACATATATATACACCGAGATCTTAACATATCAATAGTTGCTGAGGAAATTAAGGGATAAGCTGTAGCTTATTCTAAGCGACAGCTTATGCTAAGCAATTTGTGCCTAAGCGCTACACCGACGACTTTCCTGAAAGAAGACTTTCCTATATACTATTAATTTTCTTGTAACTAGTTGTAGTGTTAACAAACTTTGTTATATGCATACTTGAAATCCTTATAATACAAAAAAAAGAATAATAAAAAGTAAGCTGATAAGGCCACATTCTAAAATGAACAGTTAACCACTACAAGTAAAGCATATAGTATTTCACATTTTAACCATAGAATTTTCCACCACTATTACAGATTCCGCGATTTGACAACTGGTTTTGATAACATCCAATATTCTGAGCAACTTTTCCACAACACAATACTTTATGTTGAGTAGTTTCGTTAAGTAGCTTAGAAAAAATTTACATATACTCATTAATAATTTAATATTTATTACTTTAAAGCCACATATCTCGAGAATTAAGATAAATCGATAAGTGAAAAAGTAGCCAGAATATTAAAAATTACTTTATGTGTAAGAGCTGTGAACTAGAGACCATAATTCAAATATTTTATAAATCCTCGACTCTGACAGAGTCCATACTTAATATGCGAAAAATAGGGCATCAAAACTATAGTAATTGTACTTACTATATGTGTTAGAATAATTAAACTAGATACAAAATTATACTCATATATTACATTGATTACATTATTAATTATTATATAAAGCATTGACTAAACCAGTTTAATTTTTATAAGTATCGTTTGAAAGTATCGTTTTTATAAATAATTATCAATCACAATTATCTATCATATTTATCTATCATAATAATCAGAAAATTATATTTTATCATATTTTTAGTAAAAAATTAAATAAAAAGTAATAAATTTAAAAAATATTAATTTATTTATTTATCTATAAAAAAAAACTCATTTCAACACAAAAAAACATTTCAGCAAATTACAATTCTCATTTAGTTTGCATAGAAAAATTAAATTTTCATTAGGTACTTCAAAGATTAACGTTATTAATAATGCAAATGAAATATATTATTATCATAGAATATATTTTCACATAATGAATTTATTCATATTTATCAATTAGTCATATACATGGATTCTTAGAGAGTTTTGTTATGGAAAACTAAATTCAATATGAATTTATCAAATAATTTCATAAAATCTATATTATGTCAATCAATAATATCCGTAATGTGGTAGAAGTTAAAATCATTAAAAATTTATTTACTTTGGTGTCATAATCGATGTATCTTCCAAAAAAGCTACCATTTATTTTTTTTAATTTATGATTTAGGAAGAGTGTATAATTAACTTTAAGCGGGTTCTGTCCGCATATAACATAAACCCTACCATATTCCTGGCGATTTCTAATGAAGCTTAAACTGAAAGAAATTTATAGTTGAAATATAATAATTATTGTTCGAAATCATTTAATAGCTGGGAAATTTCAGCAGAATCGCCGCTTTTCAAGACACCTTTTGTGATTGATTTTATAAGGCGGACAACTACAACTAAGACAACAATTTCAAACCATATTTGGTTTTATTAAAAACTTTATTAAAAACTATATTTTCAATATAATAATTGTATACTAAGGGCAATGTTATGTAGAGTGTCATGAGCTCGTCATGAGCAAAATTGTTGATGTTTTCAATGCAAATTATAAGATTGAGAGTGAGAGAAAAAATAATATGTCGGTTCAAAATTGATCATAAGACCCGAAACTTTAAATACCCTCACACTTAAGCAAAGCAATGTTATTCCGTAATAAATGTCAACATTTGTATCTTTTATTAGCAAATTATTACAATTTCTGTGACATTCTGCATAACATGAATTTTGTCATTATCCAAAAGAACCAATTTTGACGAGCCCATGACACTCTACATAACATGGCTCTGAAAGAAGAATGTGACCAAAGCTTAAAAAATATTTTAATTTGAATTTTAATATAAAATTATTTATATATATACAAATATTCCAAAATAGTTCAAATTATACATCAATATATATATAAATTATTTATACCATACTATAACGATTATATTTTAAATAAATTAAATTTTGAAAATAAAATTTATTTTTAAAAATAAAATTAACTTTTAAAAAAATTAATTTACCTTTGTGTACGAGTAATAATTTTTTGCATGTAAATCTTTTGTTTTCTTGGAGAGATTTCGAAGAGTAGCCCCCGTGCACGCGCATAAATATTTTAAGCTGGAGACAACTTTTTTTGTTTCGGAATTGTTTAAATTATTGGTTGCGTCGAGATCATCGCAAGAATGATAAGAACTGTTGCGACGCGATTTTTTTATTGTTGAAGTCGGAGTGGTGGTATGTGATTTACACGGAGCAATCGAAGGTGAGGACTTATTATGACGAAAATAACCTTGTTGTGGTTTTTCTTTGGTTGCGTTGTAATGCTGCAGATTCTTTGAATATTGTTCATAATCCAGAGAAGGCATTAAAGCTTTATTGCGATGATTCAAAGCCAAATCATTCAATTGGTAAGCACTGTTATGGCTTTTAATAATTTTCACTTCTGAACTTTCTTTATCAAATTGTTCTTGTTGTTTTTTATAGGCGCTGGTAGATCTTGTTGTGAAATTCTGTAAAAACCTCAATTAATTAAGCATTTTGCTCAACGAACTCCTTTCACGAGGAAACTGTATAAACAGTTCTTGTTTATAAAAACAAAACAAAAATGTCAACAAAAATGTTGTTACCCTTAACAATTTTGAATGTTGCTGAAGTTTCTACTTGCGTATATACATTTTTATTATATTTCTTATTGTAAATATTATACAATACACCACTTGAACTCTAGATATTATCAATAAGTTCAAATTATACATAGAAAGGGGTGCATTGACTTTCGTTATTGAAATTTTTGATATGTTGTTGTGTTGTTGCGTTGTTGTTGCCAAAGAAACAAGGAATTACCAAGTATTGTCGAATAGCTTGTGAATTTCGCATGCAGGCCCTGACCTTGACTACTTGAAATTCGCTTAATGCTTTGTGTATCGCTTCTGTATACATCTGAATACATAGATTCAAGTATACTCAATTGTTTAATTTATTTTCTTTATTTGGCATTTGTTTTATTTGAACAATTAACTTGCCAAAAATAGTGTTAAAAAATGCTGAGATGTTTTGCTGTTGATTGTTACAATGAAAAAATTGAAATAAATAAAAAACATTTTAAATATTTCTGTTTAACGACATTTCCATGTCGCGATCTATTGTTTGGCATAAGACTCAACAGTTGTTGACTCAACAGACCGACCGCGCACGTATGCGGGCTTGAAATTGACTTTTTAAGTGGCGTTTGAGCCGCTTACACTCAAAAATTACATATTTCTCTTACAAGTCCCCGCCACTACTGACATCGGCCGAAAACTAAACCTATTGCTGTCACGAAGCGAAAGTTATTCGTATAACTCTTCAACATGATATGCTATCACAAAACTAAAACGTGTACAATAAATAACTATATTCATTTCTTTGTATTTGTTTGTATCTATGTGTCTGAGTTGAAGCCGTAATTACCAAGTCGAGTTTTGTTTTTGGTTAAGTCTAATTTTAGCTCTAAATGGTTTTTTGTTGAGTTATGTTTTGTTTCTGCTTTTAACCATATAAGCTACAAACAGTAGAAAGCGTCATTTTTCTTAAAATATTTATAACATATTTTCTATGCTTTAAGCGGAAAATATACACACCACATACTATAACCCCCTGTTGTAGGTCTATGTTTATTAGCAATAAATAAAGAAAATTCATTGAAATTCTATTTGAGTAAACCATGATTCACTAATTACCAAAGTAACGATCTCGAATTCTACTCAAATTAATTTTGTTTCTAATTTCAAACACAAAACACATAATCACGAAAAATATATATAATATATACATATATATATAATGCATCGCATTTATCCCTTCTCAGGTAGCACATATTTTTAATATGAGTTGGCAATTTCGTGGGTTTTAATTAATTTATGTATACAAAATTCAGGCTTTGAATTGATGAATGACATAGAACTCTTCTTTATTCTAAAATGCATTATAAATTTTATTTATAAATTATGGAATTATATATTATATATAAAAATATATATAAAAAAAAAAATATATATATATAAATATATATATTTATATATATATAATGTATATATATAAAAAATTGCAATTTAATAAAATTTTATAAATTACACCGAACAAACAAAAATAAATTACCAGATTGTGGCAACATCACCAAAACTTTTGAATTCAATTTTATAAAGTCGTTTGCAATCAGAAATATATAGAAACCGATGGTTAGAAAAAATAAAATCTTTTTATATTTGATACATACAAACTACGAGTATTTTTTAGTATACGATAGACCCAAACTACTATATATCGTTTATATCAATTTATAACAACTTTTTATTTCGCCAGTTCATAGATACAATTTATTCTTTAATATATGAGAGACCAAAGCCCATAGTTGACTTTTTTTATGTACACATACAAGTCATCACTACACATAATTCTACGATGAAGTGCTTTATAAACTTCGCGAACAGATTTATTTTTTAATAAGGAAATTTCCACAATTCGGAAGCTGAATTCGGAACACTGTGTGATTTCGAATTCTCTTTTTGGATTTTTCAATTGTGTAATGTTAATTGGTGGTTGTTAAGATGTAATCTGCAACCCATTTTTTATTAGACATACTGATCTCTGGTAATAACTGGTTAAAGTTCAAAAATTGAGGTTTTAAATTGTTAATAAAAAACATTTTATTTTAAGATATATGTTTTTAGTAATATTACTACGAATAAATAGATAACCCTCTCTGTCTTTGACATTTTTTTTCTAAATTCGCCTACTTACTTATCAAAAAATAAGAGTTTATAAAATACTTCTTAAAACGGTTCTTTTCTACAAGCTCATTTTAAATATAAATCTATGTTTAAATTAGGAGAATCTATGTTTAAATTAAATTAGGAAATTCCGTAAGAAACGGAATTTATCTATGTTTAACATATAATTTATGTTTATCTATTTATAAATAGATAACAGTAAATATCACAAATTTACTGTAAACACGAACTTCGTATCTCTAAAACTAAAAGTTTCTTATAAACCCTTTCAAGGTTTAATTTTTGAACTGATTTGTGTGTCCAAACCTCTAGTTATCTGCTAACTGTAATCGCTCTATAACCATTTTTATGGTAGCCCACTATATAATTTAGATTATCTACAATTAGATTAACCATTTTAATAACAAATCTTTCAGATATGCATAATCAGATATGCAATGTATTTTTAATATTAAAAATGTTTACTGAGATATTCTATAGAAATTTCCAATACTCTTATTCGCCAATTTTTATTCATTATATTTTCATTAAAATGTATGCCTTTAAGTTGAGTTAAAGCCTCATAGAATTGCGGGTTTCAAGAGTCTTAACATACTACAATACAACTTCAAAAAGTATGTGTACAAAAACAAATTTGCAACAACAACAACAAACTATTTGTTATAAATAAATAATATTCCTTAAAAATTTTGTAAGTTAATTATTGATTTGCATTATTACTACGTATTTGTATATATTAGTAGGAAGGTAAGTCCAGACTAGGTTATAAGAATAATTTCAATGTTCGATTTAATTACTTTAGTAGATGAGGTTAAGATTGAAGATGAATAAGATATAGTATATTATTATGTTGAGGCTATTTGAGGTTTCTTCATAACCCCTCCCTACACCTTGACTGGGTTATTTTTTATCACTTCACCAGACTAAGCAATAATTGATCTCAGATCTGCACACCTCCCCGAGGACCCTGTATATGTGTATAATATTTTTCATATGCTAAAAGCACTACTAGTCCTTGATTTCAATGTTCTGTAATCGAAGCTTTTAGAAACTGAAGCGATGACACGTCTCAATTCATTCAGAACATTTATTAATATGAAATATGTATTATGAAAATTGCTTGAAATGAAAACAATTGTTTAAATTGCATTATAACAATAAACGTAAATAAATTTAATAAGCTGTTAAGTTGATATGAAATTGTTCGTTCATCGTTTGTTTGATTGTTTATTTGTTTGTTTTATAGCAAACAAATCAAAAATATCTAAAATAAATACGTGAAGTAATTTATTTGCATACTTTGCATAGTCAGCGATGCTCTCCAGTGCACAGCGGGGCTTGCGAGTAATGCTTGTGTTCTATTATTAACAACAATATAAACAACAACAACAACAACAACAACAACTACAGCAACATCCGTTGAGAAGTTGAACAAGTCTAAATAGTCATTTTGCATATACTTTATCGCTTTCACTTTGTTTGTGTTTTTGTTTTTGATTTTTTTTTATTTTTATTTTTATTTTTGTTGATATGCCCGTACATGCTTCCATGCATTTTTGTTGACATTTGTGAAACCAACAACAACAACAACAACACTCAACAACAACACTCAACAACAATAGCAAGAACAACCATAAAAATAATAAAAATATTCATGAACATGTAGTAGGCGCGCTGACATTTATAAACTTTGATGCCAGCTAAAGTTCATTTATTGTTGTTAGTGTTTTTGTTATTGTGTTTGTTATTGTTTTTTTTTTCCAACAAAATAAATGTAAAATCGTTGTACATTTATAGTAGGGGGAAAAATATAAATAAAGGAGGTTTATTTTACCATTTGAGATTGACGTGCGTATTTTATTTTATATTACAAAAAAAGGAAATGAAAAATTGCATTGAAAATATTTGTAAAATTCATCACTAGTAGTTCATTAAAATACATGAAATATCGATTTTAAGTATTAACATCTTTTGCTCATATCCACCAAATTAACAACCACCGCCAATATAAAATTGTTTTGGAATACCGTTTATGTTTATGGTAAGAGGACACTGAGTCAACAAGGTAGTCAGACGGCACTCACAGGACAAATGTCCTGCTTTACAATGTAATCATCCGATTCTCACACAAAAGTCGATTTTATTTTAGTCAAGGGTTCGTTGCACTTCCGCGTACACTTTTTTTCTTCTCATATATAAAACGTGTTTTAAAGAACAAATTGCTATTATTTACTGCACTCTATTATTATTAATTCTTTTGTACTGAATAAAATTTTATTATATTTCTAAATATTTTTTTATCAAAAATAACACTCCAAATTTAAAATTTTATATTGCATAAAATTTGCTTGATTTTTTTTGTTTTCTTAAATTATTTGCAATAAAATATTTAAAAAAAAACTTTATATTGTATAATAAAGTAATGGTAATCCAAAATGAAATTGTTGATAAACAAATCAACAATAAATCTAATTGATTTGCGAACAGTCTCAGACGACGACCAACGCCAACAAATGTCAAAACCGCACTACGAAATTGAACTCAATTTACTCAGATTCTATACAACAACAAACCAACAAACAGCGCTACTAGCCGAGGGTTGCGCTGGTGTGATTCATCCCACAATTTCCCGTATTTGCTTGGCCCGAGAGCTTTGACTGGCTATGCACTCTTCAACTGAAGAACAAACGCGTGCGTTGTTCTCCATATACAAAAATTCTATTTATTATTTTCTCTGTTTATTGTTTATTTGCTTTACTTATCTTCTTTGTTTATATTCTACTACAAAATAAAAGCTCTCAAGTCGAAAGCTTTTTTTAATTTTAAATTTGAATTTTTGAACAGCACATATCGTACGATATTTGGGTTATTGAATACAAACTATTATCAAGCGATTCTTGCAATTAAAAAGTGAATTATTAATTATTGAATTAAAATAATAATGATTATAATAACAATAATGATACATTAATTTACGTTATATATTACATAGAAAGTATTATAATAACACATATACTATAATATATATATATAACCTAGTTTTACTGCTTGAGTTTAGATTTAGTTTTAGTTTTATAATTTTGCTTTATTGATGATTTTTAGTATTTACTAGGTTTTCTTAAAACTAGAAATTACATTAATAAGTATTATATACAGCAGGTTCTTAACATACAATTGTGTATTTTCCTAAGAGTATCTTACGTTATCACAGGAGACTTATAAAAAAATAGATAAATTCATAAATAACATTGACCATAAATTTTTCTAAAAAATTTAAAATAAAAGGAAATTACATCATTTTGCTTGAGTTTAGAATATGCTACATAGAATTAAGTATTTATGAGCTTATAAGGTAGAAACTGTTTTAAAAATATACAAAAACAATATACACGTAAGACCTGTGTTTTACTTGAAGTAAAAGATGACAAATAAGGGGTGGTATTAAATACTAAAACTAGTAAACAGTTTCGGTTAGATTGTTCCAGCGATCTAAACAACACATTTAGGCTTATTGGCCCACTGTATTATCTTATAATATTGTAAAGGTTTAAAAACCACTTTTAACATATGGCAAAACCAAAAATGCTGTTTAAAAGAATCCTAATACTGATAAATGTGATGGGCAGTAACAAATGAAATGTGTGGCATATTCATCATCCTCTTCACAACTGCGACAGGATAGATTAAACGGCAAATTCAATCTTCTAATATGGTTCCCCATTTACCTGTGACCCATCAGAAAACCTACCACAAGACTCTTATCTTTATGGGGTATCTCAATAAGAATGTTGGGGTTTCTCTCAATAGAATGCGGCCAACTTACACACAGATGCCAGCATATCGTTGAGTCTTCCCATGTTGTATTCAATTGCTCAACACAAAAAGAATTCAACACCTGTTTGCGTGATGTCAACAAAAATAGTTAATAACAATAATAATAAATTTAAACTAACAGTTTGACAAAGCAAATAATATGCTAATAAACTATAAAGAGCTGGAAGACGATGTATTGTTCAGATTTATCGATATATTAGAAAAAAAGTAAAATAAAACTTTTTTTTTAATTTGTGCAGTGCATGGTAAATAAAAAAATAAAGTAAAATAAAACATTTATTATAATATTTATAAAATAAAATAAAATAAAATAAAATAAATAAAATGAATCCAGAACTTAATTTTATATAATCAAAAGAACACAATTTGGAGTGTTGAAGTATTTCTAATGTAATTGTATAACTTATATTCTTAATTTAAATCCAAATTTAAGGATAAAAATTTCAATTGAATAAAGCAGCAGAATTAAATATTAAAAAAATTCTATTTTAACGAATTATTCGTTTTAAGTTTTTACAAGATAAAGATGAAAAGTATATTTAAATATCTATCTTGTGTCGTATATGGAGAATTTGATTATTCTAATTTATTTATTATTTAATGAGATACGGGTACTCGTAATTACCGAGAGGTATGTAATTGCCTGCAAGGTTTGATGTATGCAACGGCCTATGTTATAAAAAATTCCACGAATTGTTTATCTACAAACTCATCAGACTGCCTGAAATACCATATTTTATTTTATAATATAAGGTCAGTCGGCTAATGAATACTGACTCTGATCTTCAAATTTGACAGGGCATGAATTCAACCCTCGGTACATGCAAAAAATTATTTACGATTAATTAAATATAAGAAATAATTCAAACGCTACTGATGAAAGGTATTTGGCAATATTAGAGACAGCTGTTTAGTCAGCCAAAAATTCAATTAAATAATAAATAATAAAATTTTATTGTTGGAATTTACTATTATTCAAAATATGTCTCTATTGAAAATAATAGTTTATGTCAACAATTTAGTTTCTTTCGTTAAAAGAGATGTTAAAAATCAATATATTATGAGGAAAGATATTTCGAGCAGATAACACCATAACCGAAGAAAGCATTCAGAATTTCCTTATCGATATGTTTTAGTTTATATCGTACACATTTCACATCTATACTAAAACAAAAATAGTAGTTTTATAGTTTCATTAGAATATTATTAGGGCACGTATAGAGGGTCAAAATTTATAAACATTTATATTATTTTTACAAATAAAGTATGTCGTTGAATTAAATTTACAACGTCGAGTTTATAGACTTCAATATTCCATTCTAGAGGTGGAAAACTGACAATCGGCACCATCGATAGTGAGCGATAGTTTTTCTCCAAACCGTCGATTACTATCGATAGTTTTCGATAGTATGTTAATTTCAATACAAATGTCTGTATAATTCAAAAAATTATGTTTTTATTTCAAATTTCAACTAAAATAGGACACAGTTAATCCAACAACAGTAGTTAGATTAAGAAACCCCGGATAGAATTTTTTCAAATAGTCTTGTAGGTCTTATACTCTTTGCCACAGTTTCGGCATGTGGCGAGTCTTTTATCCTCAGATCTTCATAGTATCTCCATACCTTCGAAATACCTTTCTTTCGTTTGGGCGTTTAATGTATATTCGGGATAAAAAGTATCCGAAATTATAAACAAAATTCAAAAAAACAATTCAAACAATTAAAATTTATCTTGCTGTAAACACATGATTCCATCCTCCATATATTTTTGCTATGCTAATTGAGGTACGGTCTTCATCTTTTTCTGAAATTTTTCATTTATGACCCCAACGACGCACCTACGGTTATCGTTATATATAATATCAACACATCTATTATCAGTAATAATAAAGAGTTAATATCCGAATTCCTCAACTGTTAATTAAAATATTCTAATTTAAAAAATTTAAATTAATTATTTTATTTGAAAACCGTAGTTCGTTTAAAAATATTTCAAATTTTTGTTTATTTACAAAGTGGTGATAAAAACCGCATTAAGAATTATTAAAATGAGAATATATATATATTCAAATTGAATCATACGAGTACTTCGCTACCATTTAGTGAAACAGTATTTTTTTATGAAATTTAAGTTGGTGTGAAATATTTCTATTGAAATACTTCAAATAAAAATAATAATTAATTTTTTTTAATTATATGTAATTAAGTTATTTCCCAGCATCAATAAAACTATAATGTGTAACCTTTTCGCAATTTACTGAAATGACCTTACGAAACATAAAAACATTTAATTAATTAAAAATTTTTGAAGTCTAATTTAATTGTATTTTTAATATGAAAAATATCATATACTACGTCCGTATATATATCAGCACAAATACTATACACCACAAATAATTAACCTTGAAGACCATTGGTGCAATGAAAATTAATATATTTTTGCTCCAAAATTGGCATCATTAGAGACTTATTTATCGCGGTTCTTACGAAAATAGATATACTCTTACAAATATTATAGCTTTATATTTCAATTTAATATAAAATTTTTATACAATTTTAAGTTGCTTTGTAATGTTATATTGTGTAAAATTGAATCGAAACTCCCTTCAATTAAGAAATACAATTTTGAGTAATTTAATAAATTATATTTATTTTAACATATGTTTTCGAAATTCAAGCAATCGTTAATACAATTGAATAACTCATATTCACTATAGCGACACTGTTTATTCTGGCCCATTACTCTTTGACATTAGAACTCACACCATAATTACATATACATATAATTCGATATGTAAGCATAGAACAATGCAAAGAAAATATGTCCTCTGGAAGTCAGACAGTTCCATTTTTAGAGACAATATAGTTATGGTCAATATAGTGAATATATGTTAGTCTATTATAAATCGATGACACACGATGACACAGTGTAATTGAAACCAAAAGCCATCCAATGCTATTAAACCACATATGGAAAAATAAATTATTGTACTCCTTCGGGCTCCTTTTACTGTGAAATTTACGATTTTCTTCATTTTTAAGTAATTAGTGTGAAATCGCCATACAATTATTTTGGATACATATCTGAATAATATATAAACGATGCTTGAATGAATTTTTAAAAGATCTTTAATCTTAAAAGATAATTCTCCAAACATTACTTAATAAAAATATAATATTAGCAGATAAATTCTTTATCAGGCTTTATATTAATAAAAGTACATTAAAATTAAAACAAGTTAAAGATGAAACTGCTCAAATATTCCTATATGTGTTCCGCTTGGGGTTTACTCCTAAAAGTCCAATAAAAGTGACCAGTGGGAGTTGAAATATATATAAAACCATTATTTCTTAATAATAAATATTTTACAATCCACAGAACTGAATATAAGACTAGATAAAGGTGTCCTGTCCTTTTTTTATTATTTCTTA